GATGTGAAACCGGCTAAAGATGTGAAACCAGCTAGAGATGTGAAACCGGCTAAAGATGTGACACCAGCTAAAGATGTGACACCGGCTAAAGATGTGAAACCGGCTAAAGATGTGACACCAGCTAAAGATGTGAAACCAGGTGGTGAGTCCTGACCCGTTTCAGCTCTGACAGCTGGTTCTGCTGAGCTGCAGCGTTGTGGTGTTTTTATCTCCTGCTGCTGTTCGGCTCATTGTTTACCTCAAAACTGGATGTCAATAAACGATGTAAACAACGCAGCTCGCAGCGATTCGGTGGATTTAAACAAAAGTCTCTTCTGGAGACAATAAACCTTCTTTAATTTAAACATTTAATCAAAATTGATTGATGGATGGATGAGGGGGAGGAGCCTGACCCCGCAGCTGCGTGATGAGTGACACCAGGCGGTGCTCCTGCAGGACGGCCTCCAGTTTGGACTGCAGGTACTGGTCCAGGTAGGCTTCCAGCGTGTTCTTGAACAGGATCCGTCCGGCAGCCAGGACGTGGTGCAGCCAGTCCGGGACCCGGAACACCACCCGACCTGAGGAGCAAACAGCCGGTGAGGAGCTGCCGGAACTGAAGTTTGGACCTGAACAAACGGCTCTTTGTGCAACAGCGCCCCCTTCTGGTCCCAGAGGGACTGGTTGACGGCTCAGATCGGATCAGACCTCGGACTTGAGGCGCAGAAGTTCTGACGCCGCGGCTCGATCCAGAGAAATTAAAACTGAACTCGTCCGTTTTTAAGAAACGACCGTCTGTAAATAAAAGTGGAAAACCAGGTTCTTCTAAATACTTTGTTCGTCCAGGAGGAGGTTCTGGTCCAAAACTTAAGCTGCTGATGGTTTACAGGTCAGTTTTTAACGAGCTGCTGAAATTAACAACGAACCATTCTCTGTCGTAGAGCCGGGAAATCCCTTCATATAATGCTTGGCATCATAGTGAAGTTTGAAGATTCGTCTTTCATCTCCCGACCAATCAGATTAGAGCTGAACGACTCATCTTTATATGTTTTAACCCCAGAAGTCAATTTGTTTTTATTTATTTATGTTTGTGTCAATAACCCCCCCCCCCCCCCCCCCGATCATAAAGTTTTATATTTTAACGTCTTTGGTTTTTGAGGGATGCTGTGAGGAAGAGGGATGGGGCTGGGGGGTTCAGGTCTTTGTCCTGGTTTTTGTCCCCCGTCCCCTCGGAGACTCACCCACGTACATCATGCAGTCGTACATGCCGTGCACGCTCGTCGGCTCCGTGACGCAGCTGGAGGTGCGTTTCCTGTCCGGGCCGTCGGTCCAGTTGGCGTTGTTCCTGAACAGACCGTTGGAGAGCTGCAGGAGACAAACAGCGTCAGCTGACAAGGGGGCGGAGCCTATCGAGCAGCTTACAGGTGAGAGGACGGCCTGGACAGGTCCCTCACAGGACACCGTAGACTCTGCAGGTCTCTGGTTTAAGACCGGGAGAACATGTGAACTCCACGGAGATCTGAACTCTAGACCTTCAGGCTGTGAGACACCAGAAAGAACCACTGGTCCAACAACCCGCACGTACAAGGTTACAGAACTTTTTTACATCGAGCTGCAGGGTCGGCCTGATCCTGCAGCTCGATGACGTCACCTGATCCGATCAGAAGTCGGGTCAGAACCAGTACGTGAAAAATGTATATTTTAATTTAAAGTCCTGTTGGAGCCTCCAAACAAAACCTTCAAAATAAAAAGCGTTAAACCGTCTTCACAAACTTCACGTCTTCTCTGTTTGAGGGAGAGAACCCGTTCGTTTGGACTCAGAACCACCGAGTCCGAGCCCGGTTTTTACCTTCCTGTTGTTCTCTGCAGACGGACTGAGGACGGTGAGTTCTCGGCCCGGTTTGGGTCGGGGCGACTCGCACGAGTTGAAGAAGGACTGCAGGAACGGCTCCAGGTTCTGCCCTTTCTGCAGAAACAGAACCACACACGGGTCATTTCCAGAACCACGTGTCCACCGGTACAAACCATGGAAGAGAGAAAATGATGTAAACGTTCCAGATCTGATGGTTCTGCTCCCCGACCCGAATGTTCAGGAGGAACAAGAATTTAGTTTATAACGCTGCTGAGGCTGACACCAACTAAAACAAGCAGCTAAAACTAGCTAAACCGTCACTACAGGAGCAAAATGATAGCCAAAAGCTAAACATTTTTAAAGGCTAGTTTAAAGCGGCAGAACCTAGAAGCTAAAGCTAAATGCTAAAACATTTTAAAAAAGGCTGAAGAAGATTTCTGTGAAAATCTTTTCCTCATGTATCCATCCAGCATGTATCAGGATACTTTTCCTCTCTGTTTCTATGAGGAAACTATTTTAAATATAATTAAATACTTGATAAAAGTTATAAAAAAATAAAAGTCAAAGTTAACTAATCCAACCAAGCTGAAGGTTTTGGCTTTTAAAACAGCCGAAAGTCTGCTGAGGTCTGGATGAATGGATGGATGGATGGACGAATGGATGGGTGAATGGACAAATGGATGGATGAATGGATAATGAATGGATGGATGAATGGATAATGAATGGTTGGATGATGGTTGGATGATGAATGGATGGGTGATTGATGGATGGATGATGAATGGATGGATGATGAATAGATGGATGATGGATGGATGATGGATGGATGGGTGATTGATGGATGGATGATGAATGGATGGAAGATGAATGGATGGATGATGGATGGATGATGGATGGATGGATGATGAATGGATGGATGAATAGATGGATGAAACAGGCTCCTGGACTGTCGGGGTTACGATGAAAACTGACTTTAGTGGTGCGGTCAGAAACTCGAACACCGTGAGGTTCTTAAAGGATGCATGTCGCCCGCCGCCTGCCAGACTTTCAGATGATGGTCAAAGATGGACTTCAGAAGACGTCAACAGTCACAGTCATACCTGCATCACTTCTCCAGACCAGTTGATGTCATGGAGGCGGCGGGCGACATGCATTCCTTCAAGAACTGTCTGAAGGTTTGTCCTGCAGCTCCAGAAGAACTCACCTCTTTAATCAGCTTTCCCGGAACAGACTTGAATATTTTACCTGGAAAAAAAAAGTAAAAAAAATTATCGAAGAGCAAGAAGGGAAGAACAAGTTCCCACCGAATCGTTCCCACCGAATCGTTCCCACCGAATCGTTCCCATCGAATCGTTCCCACTGAATCGTTCCCACAGAATCGTACCCACAGAATCGTTCCCACAGAATCGTTCCCACCGAATCGTTCCCACAGAATCGTTCCCACAGAATCGTTCCCACAGAATCGTTCCCACAGAATCGTACCCAGGTTGACGTCCGGAAGCATCTTGTCCAGAAACTGAGACTCTTCGCTGTTTGGAGACAGGAAGTCGGCCAACAGCTGACTGTTACTGAGCTCCGGGCGCTGCAGGAGCCTCTGCACAAACACATGATCAGACCAGAACCAAGCAGTTATCAAGCAGAGACATGGACGACAGCTAAAGTAGCTGAAAGACAAAAGTACCAAAACCATCAAATCTAAAGTATCAAAAAGTTAGCTAAAAGCTCAGGCTATCTGTTTGTCTTCAGCTGTTCGTGACATTTAACCTGATCAATAAGATCAATAAGATCTTGATGACTCGGATCAGAACATGTTTTTACTGAGTTTGTTGTGAATGTTGCAAAATATTCAGACAGCTGAATGTCCCAACAGGAAGCTAATGTCCCAACAGGAAGCTAATGTCCCAGCAGGAAGCTAATGTCCCAACAGGAAGCTAATGTCCCAACAGGAAGCTAATGTCCCAACAGGAAGTTAGTGAAACATGTTTAGCTGTTTATTAACGAGTCGAGCAGAAGAACGTCTCAGGTTTGGTTGGTTACTGAAGAAATCTGATTCCTGCAGCTGAGGAACATCTGGAGTAAAAACCTGTAAATATTCTTGGAATTCTTCTCGTTTGGACTCCAGGAACTCAGAATTCTTTGGTCCAATAATTCTTTTGGACGGAAGCTGAGCGTCTTCAAAAGTGCCTGAAAAAAAAAAAAAGAGACAAAAATCCATCAAAACCAAAAAAACCTTCTGAGGTCGTTCCAGAACTCCAGGTTTGTTTTTACCGTGAAACTCAGTGAGTTTGGACTCCAGAACGTAGAACTCCAGGTACCGCCTGTCAATCATCCACCGCTCAGACTCATGACCCACTGGAGGAGGACAAGAGGGACAGCTGTCAGAACCTCCAGCTGGACCCACACTCAGACCCGTCAGAACCTCCTGCTGGACCCGGACTCACGGTTCTTGCGGTCGTTCCGCTCCACGTCGATGCAGAAGACGGGGATCCTCTCCCTCTTCACGACGTCCTCGCTGAAGTCGATGCAGGGGATGCTGACGCTCCAGGCCAGCAGGTTCCTCTGATTCACGAGCGAGCTGGACGGCTCGGGGACGCAGTCGTCCTCCATGACCACAGTTGCCTCCTCCACCTGTAGAGACGCGGTCAGAACATCCTGAATGGACGGAGCCGTGAATCAGAACAGGTTCTGGTCCTGAGAAAGGCCCACCGTGTCGTCGTCGGTGTCGTTCATGGCGCTGGGCGGCAGGGCGCCCTCCATCGTTGTGCTCTTGAACACACCTTTGATTTTACTGCCGATTCTGCTGATCCCGAACGTCTCGCCTCGTTTGGACGGGTTTCTGAGACAAAGCAGAGCTCGGTGAGTTTCCATCGCTGCAGCAGGAGACAAGCACGTTCAGACAAGCTGAAGCTTCATGTTCAGGAAGTGAACCTTAGTGAACAGCACCGTGTGGAGCGTCATGTCCACCAGCCTCCACACAGTGAAAGTCTGCACACACCGTGCTGCAAACTGGACCGGGTTACCGGTCCTCCTCCAGACTAAAGCCGGTTCTGAGACAAACCCACATTACTGACGACGGAGGACTTTGGAAGAACATGAGCTGAGATTACCTGCTGATCCTGGAGCTTCTTGTTGGGGACTCTGCTCCTTTCAGCAGATATCTGAAGTACTGAAAGTAGAGGAGAGACTGAGTGGAAAAGGTCCAAATGAACGGGTCTGGTTCCGACTCGTGTTGGACTGAATGGACTTTCTGACCTCGTCGCTGTGACAGAACATGGGCGTGAAGACCTTCTCCAGCAGAGACAGGACGTGTTCATACGCTTCGAAGAGACAGGGCGTCTTCTGCAGCTTTATCACGTCCACGTAGGGACCTCTGGCAACTGAGGGACGACAGCCAGGGATCAGTTCACCTACGGTCAAGATCAGCCGAGACATCAGCTGAAGCTTTTGATTTTACTCAGTGTTTTTCTTTTGGCTGCTCCCGTCTGCAGTGGTCACCACAGCAAGAGCTTTGGTTAGATGTTTTAGACCAGATGTCCTTCCTGAGCTCACCTGGACTCAAACCCACAACCGGAGGATTCTGAGACCACAGACCGCTGAGCTACTGCAGCGCCCATCTTTAAATCTGTAAATCTCTGGCTTTAATCTTGTCCCGGCCCTCCTGAGGGTCATCAGTATCTTTGTCTCCTCCCACCTGAGGGTCATTACGGTCTCCGTCTCCCTCCCCTCCCTCCTGAGGGTCATCAGTCTATTTGTCTCCCCCCACCTGAGGGTCACTAAGGTCTGTCTCCCTCCAATCCATCCTGAGGGACATGAGTCTCTTTGTCTCCCCCCACCTGAGGGTCATTACAGACTCTGTCTCTCACTCCCTCCTGATGGTCATCAGTCTATTTGTCTCCCCTCAACTGAGGGTCACTAAGGTCTGTCTCCCTCCAATCCATCCTGAGGGACATGAGTCTATTTGTCTCCCCCCACCTGAGGGTCATTATGGTCTCTGTCTCCTACTCCCTCCTGATGGTCATCAGTCTATTTGTCTCCCCCCACCTGAGGGTCATTACCATCGCTGTCTCCCTCCCCTCCGTCCCTCCTGATGGTCATCAGTCTATTTGT